GCGGGTCGTGGCACTTGCTGGACAGGCTTTTGCTGTGAAGGCTGCTGTTGGACAGGCTTTTGCTGGACAGGCTTTGGCTGTGGAGGCTGCTGTTGGACAGGCTTTGGCTGCTGTTGGATAGGCTTTGGCTGCTGTTGGATAGGCTTTGGCTGCGGGGCCTGCTGTTGTTGGACAGGTTTCTGTTGCAGAGGCTTGGGTGATGCAGTAGATTGTGTGTTGTTGACAGTCGGTGATTGACCACGCGAAGACGTGAACGTGTTACGCCCCATAGGTGAACCATAAGCCTGAGCCGAAGCAGTGCCAGTCTGAGCCCGTGGTCTGCCTCCAGCACTAGATGGAGCATAGGGATTTGGCGACTCCGTTCGGTTGTTTGAGGCTACGGGAGAAGCTGGTGGCTGTTGCTGCTGTGTCTGCTGTCTGGATATGGGCCGCGATGCCTGCTGAGCAGCTGGTGGCGTTGCCTGCGGCTGTGCCTGCTGTCTAGATGCCGGTCGTGGTACTGGCTGAGCTGGCGATGGTTTCGGCTGCTGTGATTGTTGTCTGGATGCTGGCCGAGGTACTGGCTGAGCAGCTGCTTGTTGACGTAGTGGACGCTGAGATGCTTGAGATGGTGGTCTTTGCGCAGGCTGTGAGGGAATTGTCGACTGTCGCTGCATGGGCTGATAGGTCGTCGGCGATTGAGGTTGTTGCTGCGTCGGAGTGGTTCGATAGGAATTCTGGGACGGAGTCTGTTTTGCCGTTTGCAGAGTTGGTCGTGGACTGACAGCACGTGCAGGTACTGGAGAGGCGGTTCGCGGGGCAGCCGTTGGAGTAGCGGTAGCAGCAGCAGTACGGGGAGCCTCTTGCTTCGTTGGGCTCCGGCTTGGAGGGCGAGCTGCATCGCCCCCATTGAACATGTTCACCTTTTGATTTACATACATTTGTGTGGTCTTTTGCATTTGGCGAGCTGTATGTGCTGGTTTAGGGGCGCCCAGACGGGACATGGGCGGCTGCTCGTATGAGGGCGGAGGCGTGCCCCGTTTTGCCGCAGTGATGCTGGTATTAGAAAGTGGTGTAGGCACACTGCCAGCCAGCTTTGAACCGATAGCAGGAGTAGCAGGAGGTGCTGGTGTGGCAAGACCGAGATAACGATCTGCAGTCTGGCGTACAGCAGCTTGTTTGCGCTCTTCAGGCTGACGGACTGAAGTCTGCTTGGTAACGCCCCTCAGCTCTTCAAGAGCCTGTGCAATGGGATCGAGTTCTTCCTGCGCCTCGGGCTCCGGTTCCTCCTTCTTCTTGTCTGGTGAAGCGACGTCAAAAACATTGTTACCAACGTTGAGCTGGAAGTTTGCCCGTGGATCAGCTGGTTCTGGACCGGGAGAAGCTGGCTTGCTCTCAATAGCCCGAGTAGGTCTGATGACAAAGGGCTTTGTCAAGCTGTTATTCTCTTCAGTGTTCCTCCGCGAGGGAGGTGTCCATGTTTTTCGGGTGCTGGGCGCGAGAGCTGGGGGTTCGATCTCATGCTTGCTCTTCCTTCTCACGAACGGGCTGTTGAAGAACCCTCTCTTCTTCTGCACAGAAGTCTCTTCAATCGGGCTAGGTTCAGGAATCGATGGGGCAGCCATCGGCTTGCCAGGCGAACAAGAGCCACTAGGTGGCTCGACACTTGAGAAAGAATTGGGATTTGAACAGTCACTCTGCGAACCCCTACTGGCAGGTCGAACCGGACTTGGAATTGAACTTCGATCAGATGGCGCACCGATGCGGCAGAATTGGGTCATCCCATCTGTCGGGTAGTCGTTGAGGGCTACCGGGGTTTGCTGATACTGTTGGCGTGCCTGCTCTTGTGCTTGGACGAGTCGAGGGTCTGGCTGTACTCCCCGTGTTGCTTGGGGAGATTGCATTGGCTGTGGTGACTCTACACGTTGTCTCAGTGTGTCTGCACGTTTTCGTAGAGGCTCAATCTGCTGTTGTTTTGGCGGTTCTGTATATTGCGGTTTGGGCGGCTCTACGTATTGCTCTCGCGGTGGCTCTGTGTACTGTGGCTCGGGTGGCTCGACATATTGCTGCTGGGGTGGTTCCTCATATGGCGGTTCCTCATATGGTGGCTCCACATATTGTGGTTCAGGCGACTCAACGTATTGCTGTCTGGATGATTCCGTATATTGTGGTTTTGGTGGCTCGACATACTGCTGTCTCGGAGGTTCGGTATACTGTTGTCTTGGTGGTTCAGTGTACTGCTGTCTTGGTGGTTCGGCATACTGCAGCCTCGGTGATTCTGTATATCGCCTTAGTGGCTCTACATGCTGTTGTGACTGCTCAATGTATTGTCTTTGCTGTTCGACATATTGCCGTGACTGTCGCGGTTGCTCTGCACGTTGCCGTGGCGAGTCGACATGTTGTCGTGGAGACTCAACATATTGTTGCTGTTCGTCCATGTATGGTTGTGGTGACTCGGCCGCCTGCCGAGACATATCTACTGACTGGCGGGACCTGTCGACCGATTGGCGAGACCGATCCACTGACTGGCGAGGCATATCCATGGACTGGCGAGATCGGTCTACCGACTGTCGAGGCATGTCTATCGACTGGCGAGGCCTATCCATGGACTGGCGCGGCCTGTCCATTGACTGACGTCGGCTATCTACAGGTTGAAGGGGTAGAGCATCAATGTCGTCAGGTAAGATTGGACGTGTGTCTCTTTGGAGACCCATCTCTCGAGCCAATGGGTTATTTGGATCGTGGTGAGAGTCAAAGTTGGAAGGCGCTGGCGATGAAGCGCGATACGCCGGATTCAATGTCCTGGCGAATTGTGCGACTGAGTAGTTCTCGTCCTCGGAGACTTGTGAAGAGGTCTCTGCGTCGCCCCTGCAGAAGTTGATGAATTTGGGCGCATCAGGAATCTCTTGGCCAGTTCCGGACTCTTTGATGAAGCCGGTAATGTCTTTTTCTACGTCGCAGTCCTCAAGCGACAGTCGGATTTTTTCGCATGAAGCATCGTCGCTGACACATACGGTCGAGGCGATGTTTGCGAAGTTCCACAAGCTACTCTTGGTGTAGTCGATGCGCTCTTCTTCAAGATCTTGGAACTTGTCGCACGCAGCTTTCCAGTCGCGGTTCCACCGGCCTGTGGTTTCTTCAAGCACCTTGACTGCGGCCTCGTAGTCGGCACTCGTTGTGGCTAGGTTGATCTGCGTCTTCTCGAGCTTGGCCTTGTTCTTGCGCTCTTCTTGTCCCATGACCATGTGCGCTTGCGCTAGGAAGCCCTTGATCTTGAGACAGTCTTGCTCGTACTTGTCGCGTGCCTTGTTCATGGTCGATGTCTGCTGCATTTTCAGCTTGAGCAGCTTCTCAATGCCATTCTGCACAATCTTCCTCCGCTCCTTCATTCCGCCAGCGAAGGCTGCGAGGGGCTCTTCTAGCTCTGTCTTCATCTGCTGGGCTACATTCTGATGCGCCTTTCCCATGGATTCGACCTCGGCTCGGATGACATCGCATGACAGTCGAAGGGTGCCAGTTTCGCAAGACCCAAGTGGCTTCCGCGATAAATTCAGGAGTTTCCGTGCATAGTCTTCTTCAATTGATGCTCGTGCGGCGTAAAAGTGTTTGAGTTCGTCGTTTGTGACTTTTGCCGCATGCATGCGGTCGAGCATAGGACCGACGCCGGCGTCATCTTTGCCCCAGAAATTGTTGGCGACTGGCAATGTTAGCTGGCCAGTGTGCAAACTGAAGTCTGGTATACATACACGAGAGGGAGACCGAGGGCGGCTCCGTCGCCGTTGCACCCATGGTGGATGTGTGTGCACGACTTCAGCGAGGGGTAATTGCGACAGTTTGTAGGAAATACAAGAAAGCGAATGCTATCTAGAGTGGTTTCAGAAGAATGGCAGGCTACTCAAACATGCAGGCTATGGAGCAGCGCCGGATGTTGGGGATGTGGGCCAGGGTGTGCTGGCGGTGAACCCTGTGTTGACCCTCGCGAGAATCACCATGGCGACGCGAGGGGTATTGGTAGCGCTAAGCTGACCAGCCAACCCCAAGGCGAGCCCAAGGACGACATACGTATGTATCTGTGTTTAGGTTGGGCGGAGACTACAAACGCACACGACTGTTTTCCCTGTTCGGTTTGTTTGTAGAGTCCCATCTCTGCAGTCCCCTGCGTTTGGCGGTGGCTGCTTAGCATGTATACGTAGTCTCTCTCCTTCACTTGGATTGCTGCAGTGCCATGACGCAGGGCCAGCGGGCGGACGGGTATGTTGCACTTGTTAGCCTCGACGTGTTGACCATGTGTTGCCTGCCGTAAAAAGTAAAGCCTACAGCGGCGGGCGTGGTGAGGGTGTCGTCACTGAGGTGTCCGTGTATGTGTGCATGGGTTACTCTACAACCTGCACACACTGGCCGCCCGCCATTCCGCCGTGGCCAGTGTAGGCGAATAGCATCGTCGACGCCAGGCACGTCCTGGATGCCCAACACGGCGAATAGCGGTTCATGTTTGGAATGGTACTGGGCCGCGGACACACAAGTAGGAGTGGTGAGATGCAATGGCGGCCATGGCCGTCGCCAGAGAGGCGGCGAGGTGAAGAAGGGTAGGCGAGTGTGGGGTACTGCTGTACTCGATCTCTACGTATGGCTGTACGCGGGATACGGTGCTGCCACAGAAGGGCAGCCTGGTGAGCCCACCCACTCAAACGGAGCAATTGAGTTTGCATGCCTGGAAACGCCGGGGAGAGTGCAACAGTGACAGCAGATCGCCCGTAAGACAAAGAAAGACACGTGCAAACCCTCTGCGTCCTCTGCTTGTCCTGCTGCTGCTCCGCCAAACTCGAGTAGTCAAACGTGGCCCTGGTGTGTCGCTGTGCCTCTGCTGCTACGTGCCAAGCCCGCTTCGCTCTTCCTGCATGGCCGACTGAACGTCTGGTTATCACACCCGCACCCAAAACCTTACAATCCCATCGCCCCCTCCCGCCCCCTCCCCTTCTCTCTCCCAGCCGCCACGCGCTGCTCATGGAAAGCCTCCTTCGATGAGCCAGCAACACCCCTGGGGCGCCCCGAGACAATCCCAAAGCACACGCCTCGCTCCCATCTCCACGGCCTTTGCCCACGACCACGACCTCCACCAGCACCAGCACCAGCAGCGCAATCCAAGCACCCCCTCGCCCAACCCCTCGCGCCACGCCCAATCGCCCGCCACTGCACACTTCCCCTCGCTGCCGCCCGCCTCGTCCTCAACGTCGTCGCCCTTTTCGCCCGCAGGACAGCAGCTCCCCGCCAGCCAGCTGCTGTCCTCCCGTGGGTCCAGGACCATAGCGCCCCAAGCTGCATCGCACCTGGCTTCCTCCGCCGCAGCCGCTACTCAGGGCGCCAGTGCACAGTCAAACAGCGGCGGAGGAGCCTCCAAGCTGGTCCGCGCCTCGCCCTCGCTCTCAGTCTCGAGCACCACCGGCTCCCCCAGCACCTCGGCCCACTCGTCTGCCGCCTCGTCCCAGAACCTCTCCCGCATCGTCATCGCACAGATATTTCTCCTGCTTAGCCAATTCGGGCCAGTCAAGGACGACAAGGACCGCGCCAAGTGGGACACGCAAACCGAGCAGATCAGGAAGGTTCGTCGCCCATCTCTCCGGCGCTACATCCCCGCCCTGCCTTACTGACGCGCCCCCAGCTCGTAGACACAAACGGCATGGAGGTCTTTACAAAGTACTTCCGCCGTGTGCTGCAGAACAATGCAGCCACCATCTTCGGCTCTGGCGCACGCAATGCCGACCCCAATGGCAGCTACCAGATCCTGCTCACCGAAGTGCACAAGATACGGAAGGATCCCGAGCAGGCTGACAAGATTGCAGAGTCCATCAGCACCAGCGAGGGTGATCTGTTCCGTGACTTTGATCTTGCCACGTTTATATCTCATTTCAAACTAGATGCGGTTGCAAAGACAATGCTGGCGCTCGCCTGCAGGAAGACAGATCTGCGGCCCAAAGGTGCGCCCCCCCCCCCCCTCTGCTCGCTGCCTCTAGCCACTAACACTTCTCAGCCGACGCGGTTCTATCTACCATAGGCGATGACTTACTCATGACCATCGCGCAGCCGACCCAACCAGACGACATGAATCATGAATATCTCGCCGCACTCGTCGAACGCCTCCTCCAGGACCCACCACCAGGCTGGGATGAAGAGAAGAAGATGAGCCTCGCTTACGCTGTCCAGATGCGATATCAGCAGACACACCAACAGATACCGGGCATCGTCGAATCAAAGTTGATACTCGTCGAGCTCACTGACGGGGCGCGTAACCCTCTTGTCAAACTAGTCAAGCAGGCAGGGCCCCAAGGCACAGCTACGGTCGAGGCATGCAAAGAAGTGCTTGCATCGGCTGAGACACGCGACATTAGCTACCAGCAAGTTGCCGCGGTTCTACTCTACCTTGCCCTTTCGACCGGATACAATGCGAAGAATTTTGTAGCCGCGCTACGTGAGCATCGGACGGGACAGCGAATAGACTGGCAAGACGTAGTACTTGCCTTTGACCGAGATCACCTTCGCATCGAGCGACATCAATTCCTGGCCATCTACAACGCATTGCTTCCCGTAGCGCAAGAGAATGAAAAATTCGACATACAGGCACTCTGGGGAGGTCAATGGCAGCATGACTTGACGCAGCTGTATTTCGTAGTGGCTTTCCTGTCATCCACAAGACAGGAGCTGGACGTGACTCAGATCCCCAGGCTCCGCACATCGTACTCGATGAAGACATTTGAAGGGGCTTCAGAGGATGCAAGAGCCTTTGCCGAGGAGGCCGTTAGACATCCATTTGTTTCGCTGGACGCAACGGCAGCTCTTTTCAACATGATCTTTCAGACCTCAGAGACGTACCATACGGCTCAGCTGATGGGCATACCTGACTTGGTGATCAACCCCCACACAGCAGAGTTCCTCGTAGCGGCAGCAGCAGTCCCAAAGCCATGGGGAGCATTGCAAGAGCAAGCATTGAAGCAGCTGTTTGATCCTTATTTTCACAAGAAGCTACCCATCTACAATTTTGTCCTTTACGGCTTGTGGCAACAGGATATCCAATGGCTCGTGGACCGCTTTGTTGATGCATACAACGCCGACTCGATGACCCTCACTCTGATCCTGGAGCATGCCGAGACGAACAACTGGTTGGAGCCACTGATCCGCAGTAACACTGATATCAGCCTGGACTTGGCTGCACAGGCACACGCACGTGGGAAATTCGAGCTTGAGCCCTGGCTACAGCAGACATTCGATCAAGCTGGGCCACTCTTCCGTCGCATTCTGACCAACTTTCTCAGTGCGCGGGCAGGTGAAGAGATGCAACGCCTCCGAGATGACCATCAACCTCTTAACCTACCCCTAGCAGTGAAGACGGTCTACCCACTCCTTTGGTTCCTTGCAGAATGCGGTCTACCTGAGCAGGAATTACTCCCCCTTCAACGAAACTGTATTCAGGCCTATCCTCGCCTGATCAACTATGGCGAGGGCGTGGACGACGTCATCGACGCCAATGGTCAAAATGGCAACGCACTTCCTGAAGAAGCCGACAAGAAGATGCAAGAGCATTTTAAGAACATGTACAGCGGCGACAGCGATGTTAGAGATATCATCTCCGCTCTGAAGAAGTACAAAGAATCCCGCGATCCTGCGGACCAAGACCTGTTTGCCTGCATGATCCACGGCTTGTTCGACGAGTACAACTGTTTCGGAGAGTATCCACTTGAAGCATTGGCGACGACTGCTGTGCTTTTCGGCGGTATCATCAACTTCAATCTTCTGTCCCGCATCGCACTTCAAGTTGGCTTAGCAATGGTTCTAGAAGCTGTCCAAGAGTTCCGTCCTGAAGACAGTATGTATAAATTCGGTCTTCAGGCTCTCATTCACTTTTCGAATCGGCTGTCTGAATGGCCCAACTACTGCGACCAACTTCTTATTGTCCCTGGACTTCAAGGCACTGAGATTTATGCTAAAGCTGAAGAAGTAGTAGGTCAGCAAGTCGGCGAAGTCAATGGCGAGGGCCATAACGGTATGGGTATGACCAACGGTAACGGTGTCGACGAGAATCTCCACCAAGAGCCAGCTGTGCCCAAGTTCAGCTGTCTGTATGTCGACCCGCCACTGCGCCCAGAACTATACGAGGACCCAGATGAAGACGTTCAGGACAAGGTCTTGTTCGTACTGAACAACGTGTCTGAGCGTAATCTCCGCGACAAGATCAACGACTTGACTGAAGCCGTTGAGGAGAGACATCATCAGTGGTTCGCCAACTACCTCGTTGAGGAGCGTGCAAAGATGCAGCCCAACTTCCAACAACTGTATCTTGACATGCTTGACCTGTTTAATGACAAGATGCTCTGGGCCGAGGTTCTTCGAGAGACATATGCCAGTGTTGTTCGCATGCTGAACACGGATTCTACCTTGGGATCTACCGAACGTGGCCACCTGAAAAACCTGGGTTCGTGGCTCGGATCCCTGACCATAGCCCGCGACCAGCCAATCAAATTCCGCAACATTTCATTCAAGGATCTGTTGCACGAAGGTTACGATTCAGATCGCCTCCTATTGGTGATTCCGTTCACCTGCAAAGTATTGGTACAAGCTGCGAAGTCGACAATTTTCAAGCCTCCCAACCCATGGTTGATGGAGATGCTGGGTGTGCTTATGGAGCTATATCACTTTGCTGACCTGAAGCTCAACCAAAAGTTCGAGATTGAAGTTCTCTGCAAAGGCTTGGAGCTCGACCACAAAGACATAGAGCCAACCAACAGCATCCGAGGACGGCCGCCAGTTGATGAAGAATTCCTTGGGTCCATGGTGACAGATGGCATGGAGGCCTTTGGCGACCTTTCTATCATGAGCCTCAACCGTGGCGCACGTGGGCCCAATGAACGCTTCTCTTCAGCAGCAATGACGGCTGCTCTGCCCGATTTCACCAACCAGCTTCAATATCCGCCTTCTGGAAATAGCGCGGTTCCGCCAGCGACGCTCAAAAAGATTTTCCTTACTGCAGTCAATCAGGCTATACAGGAAATTATTGCTCCCGTAGTTGAACGCTCCGTTACCATTGCCGCAATCTCGACGTCGCAGCTGATCAACAAAGACTTTGCCATGGAACCCGATGAGGAGAAGCTTCGCAATGCAGCACACACTGTTGTCAAAGCTCTTTCCGGCTCTTTGGCTCTTGTCACCTGCAAAGAACCCCTCCGTATGAGTATCCAGAATAACATCCGCCTCACAGCTAGGGATCTTCCCGATCAGGGATTGCCAGAGGGACATATCATCATGTTTGTCAACGACAACCTTGACCTGGTCTGCAACACAGTTGAGCAGGCAGCTGAAATGTCATCCCTCGCTGAAATTGATATGCAAATTGAAGAAGCCGTCCGTATACGTCGCATGTTCCGTAGCTCTCGTCCAAATGAGCCCTTCAAGGATGCAAACATCAGTCCATGGGCATTCTACATTCCGGAGCCATATAGACAAATGCCTGGCGGTTTGAATAGGGAGCAGTTGGCCATCTATGAAGACTTTGGCAGGCAGTCGCGAGGGGCGCCACACGTTAACAACACCTCTCAAGATGGCGGTCGACAACTCCCAGATGTCCTCCAAGACCAATTTGCGGCGGTACCAAATCTTCCAACCCCAGGTGCTGCACCAGCTGAGCCACGACAGCCGGCCCAGCAACAACCCAGGCTACAGAGTCTTCAAGCACCCCATGCAGTGCTGACTCAGCAACAGCCTAACGGGTACATGGACGCTCCTGGCCTTGAGCGGGGCCAGCGTGGCGTAGAGGACCTCCTTATTGAGTTGACCCGCGTCATCAAAGAGGCACCAGAGGAGCGTATAACAGACCTCCAACCTGGTAGCAGCAGTGTCCACCAAGTCTTTGACCAGCTCATCTCAAGCATCGAGTTCGCCGGTCCTAACAAAGAGACATGGGCATTCCGTATCGCTGGACAAGTCACGAACCACCTCTTCTCTGACTCCTTGAGTCGCCTGGAGGTCGAAGTTATGGCTCATTTATTGAGCCATCTGTGCCAACTTTCCGTCCAGACGTCACGACAAGTGCTGATGTGGTTGGCCACTCTTCATGACGACGACCGTATTTTCAAGGCTACAGTCATGGTGGCCCTTATGGAAGTCAACCTCATGGATATGCACCGCTTAAACACGACAATCGCCAAGGCCATTCAAGAACGGCATGTCGCTGCAGTAGAGATGCTGTCAAGTCTGATGGAAGAACTCTTGCTCAATGAGCACCCGAGTGCTTTCCGTGCCGACTTTGCCATGTCCATCGACGCTCTCACTATTTGGCTAGCAGAAGACTCTAGCTTCGAGCTTGGAAAGCGTGTCATTGCCAACTTGCAAGCGTCGCCCAATGAGCAGTCACTGACACCACCGGCATCTAGCCACAAAGATCAGCTCGAGTACGTCTTTGACGAGTGGGTGCATCTTCAGATGGAAAACATGCCAAAGAAAACCGTTGGTGCTTTCATCTACCAGCTCCACCAACAGAAGGTGCTGGAGACTCAGGAATCTTCAGTCGCGTTTCTTCGCGCTTGTATTGATGCCTCTGTCATCGCATATGAGCAGGAACACTCATCCCCATATGGAAGTGGCAACGAAGACATTGCGACAGTCAAGGTCGATGCCCTTGGGCGGCTCATCGTCGACCTTCTTGTCTATCAAGGTGAACAAGAGGGTGCCACCAAGAAGAGCAAAGCGAGATACTTGGATCAGATGCTCGTCGTCGTAGTGCTCGTCCTTTGTAACCACCACACCACCCGAGAAGACGCCTTCAACCAAAAAGTGTTCTTCCGTCTATTCTCGACGATTCTTTTCCACCTGAACGATGCAGTAAAGGAAGAGTCGTTGGCAGAACAAAAGGCAGACATCTTCCTTGCAGTCGCCAAAGCTCTTTTGATCGTTCAGCCCTCCAATATTCAGCGCTTTGCCTTTTCATGGCTCGCATTGGTTGCACATCGTATATTTGTGCCTGCCATGCTGGAGGAGGGTCAAGACGACAAGCGTTGGGATATTTACGCTCAGCTTGTGGAGACGCTCTTGATCTTCACTGGAAAGCTGATCAAGCCTACTGGAGAAACTATCATGACCCAACAGTTCTACCGCGGCGTTCTGCGCGTGTTGCTGGTCATCCACCATGACTTCCCCGAGTTCCTGGTCGAGAACCATTTCAGGTTCTGCAACAGTATTCCAATGCACTGCACACAGCTCCGTAACCTGATTGTCAGCGCATATCCATCTACCATCCTCGAAATGCCAGATCCATTCACTGCAGGATTAAAGGCAGACCGCCTCGAGCATGATCTTCAAGCTCCCGTCATCCGTACCGATATCGAGCAGATGCTCTCAGACGCAGGCATCAAGAATGCCATTGACAATCTCCTGAAGGACTCTGAGCTGAAGGACGAGGATGTCGACGTGGTCGCCTGTGCGGTGTATTATGCAGAACCCAAACCTGCAGGCTTTGAGCTCGTCTCAACGACAGCCAATCCAGCGCTGATACATGCAATCACATTGTATGTTGGCATATCGACTCTTGGTACAGGATCAGCTACGGTGCCAATCTTTGATGCAGAGAGCCCAGCCACCAAGCTCATTGAAAGGCTGGCCAAGGACTTCCACCCAGAGGCCAGATTCCACTTCATCAGCGCCATCGCGAACCAATTGCGCTTCCCAAACACGCATACTCACTTCTACAGCTATGCGCTGCTGCACCTTTTCGGACCCCCAAGCGAAGACTCGCTGGCATCGGAGATTCAAGAGACCATCACCCGTGTATTGTTGGAGCGCCTGTTGGTTCACCGCCCGCACCCATGGGGCCTCATCATCACGCTACTGGAAATTCTAAAGAACCGCACATATGCATTCTGGGAGCTGCCGTTCGTGAAGGCGGCGCCTGAAGTACGTAGGCTCCTTACAAATTGCCTATTGAATCATACTAACTCGTTGTCTCTCCCAGGTTGAACGCCTTCTCAACGCTCTCTTCACGCATGCTCAACAGAGCCCACGCCCAATAGCTTAGTCGGCTGGTGGCCAAATCTCGACGTTCACACCAAGAGTGCATTTAAGAGGCACCAATAATCTTCCGCCACTGCATTTACCAGCGCACTCTGGTCATAGGCAATACATGGACTTTAGTCAGGGCCGGTCTTCCTTTTCTTCTCCTCGTAATAGCTTTCCTACCTAGTCATTGGCATTTCTCGCCTGCTTACGGGATCACGACTCCATTGGGCTGGCAGGCAAACAGTGGGTAATGATGATCCCGTGGAAACGGACACGGATATAATGATGAACTGGAAAGGACGATGTTCGGGATGTCCCCTATCATTTTCTGTCTTGGTCACGGTACAAAAAAGCACGGAGTTCTTCGGGGTCGAGTTGGGTGTTTCTATTCGTCACGGAGATGCTTTACTAGTCATGTCTTCTGCACGTTCTTGTAGAATAGCATTTGCTCGGCGAACCTTTCAACGGGGGGAGGGATGGATGTTCTTGGTGAAGGCGAAAATGCGCATACCGTCCAGTGCATCAAGTGTAGGATATTATCATGAACGGTGTTTCTACTTTTCCTTTATCGAATCTCTGATGATGAATGTGATACATACTAAGGCAGAGACTCACGGAATTGCGGCTCATCGTTTCATAGTTCTGTCCCACGTAGAAGGTACGCTAAAAGATACGAGTGCTCCTGCTCTCGTCAACCCTCATCTCATCAAAACTCCAGTGCTGGAACAGAGAGCATTGGCAATGGCACAAAGAACATGACCGCTGCGACACTCTTAGAAAGCAAGGTAACCGAAGCAGTGTTTATAGCTTCCAAGCAAAAAAATCTTTAATAATTATGAATACCGAACAGAAGCCCACCCCACACTCTTCTCGACAACCGCTAACGCGTTTCAGGCCTGTTGGCTCCAACCATCATTTATAGCCACCGCAAGCGATAAATCCCTTTCTTTTCGTAACGCCATAGTAAATCCATTCCAATCATCGAACGCCTTTTTCTTTTTCGCACCATCCGAACCGTTCCGCCCTCCCTGGCTGATCCCACCGCCACCCTCTCTCTCTACTCTGTGTTCCTTGCATAGTATCTCGGCCTAGGTGCTTTTCGTGCCTTCGGTGCCTGGATAGGCGAGTTTTCTTCCCGCTCTATCCGCAGCATCTCGCGCACCTTGCCGTCGAATGTGACGATGATTTGAAATGGGACCTGCGGCTCGCTGGACGAGGATGAGCTGAAGTACGAACTTGTGGTCGAAGAGGCGGGCGATACGGGTGTGTCGGGTGTGCTAGGCGTCGAGCATCTGGATGAAGTGGAGTGCGTAGTATCAGGAAGTGCGTCCATTTTGGGTGGTGGTGTACGATGATCGTAGTTCTTATCTACGGGCGCGGGTCGGCGATTATTATGCGGGGGAGTGTAGACAGAACACGGGCAAAGTTCGGTAGCGACTGTGGTGGTAGGACTTGTGAAAGGTATGTGCTTGACTTTCTATGTTGGTTGATGATTCCAGGAGGATCAGGTGGAGGTATGTGTGTATATTTGGTGAGAAGGGGGCTGTTCAGCTGAGGCTCCGCTTAGTGTCTGCGTACGGTCGGCGTGATTCGGAGTACGTATCACGGGGTACGTTTACCCTAGAAACGGCGCTTGTTAGGGATGATGCTTACCAGAATCCAGAACGCTCAACGTGTACGCCGGCCGAGTCGGAACTAGGGCTATACGTCTGAAATTGACAATTTACTCACGAGCAGCGTTACGTACCTCTATATCATAAACTTAAGAAGCAAGTATAGTCACCCTACACCCAGTGTCGCGAAAAGGTAGGCCGTATAGTCTTTTTTTGACCGAAGCTTCTGGTGTTTCTTGAAGCACACCAAAAAACAAATAAAGTATTGGAGGCTTTTGCTACAGGGCACGACATGATCATGGCGGCCCTGCCCCCTTTCCCATTTAATAGAAAATCTACACCCTTGGCTGATTCAAGAGGTCTCTCCTCCGCTCGCCCAGTTCCCTAGAGTGCAAGCACCGCGTCAGCTACCTCTCACATCGTCATCTCGGAAGACCCCCACTAGGTGGAGACGGCACTGGTGGTCAGGCCGGCCGCGGCTTCCCGCTGCGCCACACAAGAGCGCGTTGTCTTAGCTCGCACGCTCATAGGCCTAAGGTATTTACCATTAGCTATACGATACTATATTTAATAGTAAAAGAACTAACAGAGGGTGTAGCATATGTGTCATAGAATAGCAGACGTGGTGTTGCGAGAAGAATATCTTTGCTGTGTTTGGAGTCGGGGCTTGTGCTGTGTGTACATGAGCACAACAATGCAATGGAAATGGTGATGGTCAGCAAGATTTATTGCCACTTTGGGACTTGTGCAGAAGGGGGATGGGGGTTGCATGGATGTCTGGGCAAAGCGGAGCGAAAGATGAACCCTCCGAACACCCCTGTACATTTGAGGGATGAAACAAGACTCGGTGTTCTCTGGCCAGCATGTGGGCTCTGGTTGGTTTCTGGTTTATTCGGTTGATATGAAAGGAGGCCGAAACAGCAACTCCCTAGAGTATGGCATTGCCATGGGGATTTGCTGGGTCACATGACGATTCCAGATACTTGGACGGCCTCTTGTGCGTTTATTGTCCCGATCATCTCCTCGCCCTTTACATTACACCTTGGAATTGCAATGCCACTCCATCCCCCTCAAGCTGCAAAGATCTACACTCTTGCTAACATGGACCTCCTTCAGGTTGCCTGCTCGTCGGTTGCCTTGAGGGTTGAGTTTGGCCTAATGGCTCAGTCGTGGTCAGGCAAACCGTCAAGCCTCACAAGGCGCAGTCGAATCTCACCGCCACTAGACAACTCATCGTATCTTTCGCCTTAGTTAATTCGTACAAACATCACTCGCCAGAATGTTCGCCTTGAGATCGTCTTCACAGCCATGTGCTGGTGGCCTCGTATGCACCGTATACTCTGCCTTGCACCGCTAAGGTTGCCCTGCATGCAGACCCGCCATTCACATCACCAAGCATCCGTTTCAACCGAACTTGCGGCTTTCAAGATGACGCCGACACTACCAGATTGTGTCGCCTTTGAGGTAACCATGGAAGAATATCAAAAACAGCCAAGCTGGATGAAGGGTGGCTTGGCTAGGCCGGCTATTCGCCTCAGTTTGAGTTGAGTCGATGACGTTAGACACCGTTATGCACGACGTTGGTAGGATGATGGCGATGAAGGGCTGTGTGGTTAAGTACAGAAGGGCGGTACTTGTTCAAGAGCCTTAGGTTTCCAGGGCTTGCCATGGATTCTTATCATAGCACTCGAGTGTAGCGCATTCTCTCTCATGCCCACTGAAACCAAGAACTAAATCTACAAACTACAGATACCACAAGGTATCGACTGCCGTTCAGGCAAAAGGCAAAAGATGGAAAGACGGAGCATGCAAGAGCGACGGCATCATGGAGGTACGCACCGCCCATCATGTGCACAAAATCTCGATCTCTGACTCCACCCAGCAAGGCAGTCTATGGGTGACATCGCAGGAGGTCTCAGTCAACACCTTGGGCATCGCACGTCTTTTACTCGACAGCGCGCAGAGTCGCATCAGTCTCAAACAGCAACCTCACCACGAGTACTGTCACCATCGGAAATCGAGCAACTGCCTCAGCAAGCCTTGATCTCTGCATACCTACGATCTTCGTATCATGGGGACAACGCAGATCGCCCAGAGAGACTTTCCTCGGCGGGATCCTACTCCACGGCTTCGTCATCGCACTACAAATCGCAAGGCGAAATGAGGAGAATAAGCGGGAACTTCAACGCACCAACGGAGATTGAGGTGGAGCGGCAGAGGAGCCACTCCAAACGGTCACGGGGTATGGGAAAGCTCAGGGATGTGTTCAAGGGTCTGGTGCGGGCATAGGATCAGTTCGTTGAGGTCGGTACTGGTACCTGCTTTCCCTTGTGCACACCATGTCATCTTAAAGTCGTCATGGCGCACACGACCTCGCATCACACTGAGCGCGCTGTCCGCGCCGTGGGCTTGTTCTCTTAGATACCCAACATTTGCGCTTGATCTGCTTGTTTCAGCTTACGATCCACATGCTCAGTTTTTTTCAGGTCTTGAGTGTGCGACACGGCTCGGGTGAGCGTGATGAGTGACATCATCGGCCCCGTTCATCACAAACGCCACACCTCCTTCGCTTCGCATACGCCTCTCCGCAACCGACCATGCATCCCAGCGTCACCTCGCCAACAGACCCCATAACTTGTTACCCGCTCCGTTATTGCGTGCAGCCACCGCGGAGTCCGAGCCCTGTCCTCCACCGAGACAATCAAGAGGCCTTCCAATCGCTGCACCGATCATCTCCTTGATTGGCCACCCATCATTACCCCTTCTGGACCTTGATGGACCAAGGATGGCTGGCTTTTACCACCCTGCAATGACGTCGAGGGGTGTGGTATGACTTGCAGGCTTGCCCAGCGTCTGTGCCATCCATATCGTAACTGTTCGGATGGGAATGTAGGCAGCCGCTTTGAGTCTTCGATGTGCATCATCGCATATGGGTCTGGGTCCTACATTTAAATGCGAGGCTGGCAAACAGGCTGCTTATTTCTTCATGATCCCCCTACTTGCTACCCTTGACTCCCTATTCACCACCCAGTCCACCAAATCAGACCTCGCTGCCCCCTAATAAAAAACATGGACCACTATCCCACCGTCAGTGTCAACGAACGCGAAACTCCTTCTTCGAGAATATCATCACGCCACGACTCTGTCTCCTCTGTCGGCAAGACCTCAACTAGGAGTAAACGCTCCTCAACCATGCAAACAACAAGCTCCGCTGAGCGCCAGTCCTACTCATATCATTCCTTCCCGTCTCCATCGACACACTCGCCAGTCTCCAACTCGTCCCGGTCCAGCTCTAGCACTTCCAGTCACTCAAACTTCCAACGCATCGAGGAAGAGTATGCGCGGTATACAAATGCGCCACCCCCATATAGCGAAAAGCAGTATGAGGGGAAGACCGATGAGGAGAAAACCAGTATGCGAATGAAGGATTATACTAAGGAGCTCTCGAGGATAATGACACGACAACTGGTTAGGGGGCTGAAGATTAGTGAGAGGGAGAAGGTGAATAGGGATGGCAAGAAGAATTAATCATGCTATCTGACAAGGGTGGGTAATGTGGAAGATATTACTTTCAACATGGGCTGGACCTGGTATGGTTTTGTATGACTAGTGACGTGTATGATTAACGATGGCGTTTCTTTTCGTTCATGCAGCGATTTGGAATCGAATGAGCGAAGTCATTTCTTTCCTATTGTCTTAATGTTGTTGGAAAGTTATGAGCTTGGTGTTTGTTACTATACCAATTTGATTTTGGCATATTTTTTCAGGAGTATCACTGGGCATGTGTTTTCATCCCAACTTAGTTGCTCTGTGAGTTTTAGCTTCGAGGATACAAAAGCATAGTTTGGTCGTTCCTTGGTAGGGAGCGAGTTTGGTCATGTTCGTCATACCCATGACGATTTCCTATACATTCAAAAACGTATCACAGCGGTATGGCATCAAAAAAACTGTAACAACACGTCTAACTCGACTTATGCAAAAAGTGTGTAGGTGATCTGGCACTATCAATACAGAGTAGAATCACCGAACCTAGGGCCTACTCAGTGGTAGTATCGGAGATAGCTAGCGGATGTAACCCTCTACCTCTTCTTTTCTCATGCGACGCAATGACGTAAGCAACGACACTTTTCCACGCTGCCATAACCATGAATAATCACTTGGCTGTATTCAAACAATCCGCTCATTCCATCTGGTCACAGATATATCCGCTCGTTACAGCACCTCGACGCCACCCCAACTAACCATGAATTCACAAATCCCACACAACCCCAAGCGCAACAAAACCTTCCATCCTTCCCACATACCCATCAAACCAAATGCAACACTTCACCCAGTCCCAACCCACATAACCGGCCCCCTCCCCTTCCTAAACCCCACAAAAGCCCACTACCATATCCCCTCGCACCCCGACATCCGCTTCAAATGGACTTCGCGCAACGACCGTAAAGGGCGTCACGCCATCTCCATAAACCACACCTCCAACTCTGCGAATGGCACCACACCGCGTCCCACAACCTCCCTGCACACTATTTTAAGAAATATCTGGAAAATGGCGACGTACTACCCTGTCTGGGACCTGTCGTTCTGCGTCGCATACGTATTCACGATAGGCAGCGTTCTCTGGATCCTCAACGCCTTCTTCGTGTTCTTGCCTTTGGTGCAACCGCAGACGGAGCTCGAGGGGGAAGAGTTGTATGGTGGTGGGATCGCGGCGTTTATTGGGGCGACGGTGTTTGAAGTGGGGTCGGTGTTGTTGCTTGTTGAGGCGGTGAATGAAGGGCGGTCGGGGTGTTTTGGGTGGGCTGTTGAACGAGCATTTGAGGGGGAAGAGGAGGAGATTGGTGTGAGGCTGGAGAAGGGGGGATGTGGGCATGCGCATAAGAGGGGGGAAGGGGAGGGGGATGAGAAGGGGGAGAGAAGGAAGTGGGTTTGGTGGCCGGCGAGGGAAGAGTTGCAGAGGCATTATATTCATAATCTGGGGTTTTTGGCGTCGCTGGCGCAGTTTGTGGGGGCGACAATATTTTGGGTTGCGGGATTTACGGCTCTGCCGGGGATTTATGATAATATGTCGAAGACTGTTACGATTGTTTTTTACTGGACGCCGCAGGTTGTCGGCGGGTTGGGTTTTATCATCTCTGGGCTTCTGTTTATGATCGAAACGCAACGTAAATGGTGGAAGCCGGCGCCTCGAGTACTCGGCTGGTGGATTGGGGCTTTGAATCTTATTGGGGGTGTGGGATTCACACTATGTCCGGCGTTTGGGTATGATAACAGTAGTTGGGCGCAGTATCAGGCTTGTCTGAGTACTTTTTGGGGTAGTTGGGCGTTCATGATTGGGAGTACACTGCAGTGGTATGAGAGTCTTGAGAAGTTCCCAGTGGAGGTTAATAAATCGGTGCGGTGATAAGATGTATATGTAAATTGGAGATGGTATGGCGGTTAATAATTCGTTATTGATAATTCGTAATAAGAGATCTTCGCATTCCTGAACTAAATCTTGACGACATGGAGAAAAGAGACATAGGTCAAGTCAATAAACATTTGGTAATATTGATGAATGCAACCAAAGTGGGCATCTTCTTTCCGAGTCTCTTACCATATATATCGCATTTCTCAGTGCATACTATTGCTTGTTGACATCCATCCTATCTTTCACTTACTCACTCAACGCACTACAATATTCCCACTGAACCCCTTTCCATATGAAACAAAGAGCACATTCTCTCAAGACAATAGGAAAAAAAGGTAATCAGTAGCTCAGCACAAAAGACTCATGCACCCTGGCTATCGGTAACAGGATATTCACTCAAATTTATATCACTAACTTCCTAAATACCTACTACATAACATCCTCCATCAGCAATAGGCATTCCCATTCTTTCAACCCACGCAACACCGACGATACCCAGACTCATTACACACCATACCTCTTCATCACTCAACCTCCCCACCTTCCAGCTTTCCCTTCTCCACATCCATCTACTCAAGAGAAACATTGCACACATCACCTAGCAAACATCACCTAGCACCACCATCCTCATACTATTCCCTTACTCACCCGCTCCCACATGTAGCTACCATCTCTTCAAGCCCCCGGCGCCACCCTGTGCCATCTATTCTTCCTGCCAGCAACTACATCTGCACATGCCCCGCGTCCACTGGTATATCCTCTCCGCCCTATACTACTACAGCAGCAGTGGAGCGGGAGGTCACGGTAAAGGGGTTTTGATCATACATAGCATGTTTCGCTGCGCTTCGCCGCGGACTGAGCGAAGTATGAATGTCATCTTTTTTTTCCTTCTCTCAGCGAGCAGAGCGCGAAATGGGACTCTGTATTTTTTTTACGTGGGTGGTACTAGGGTGGGCATGCTGGGTACCGCGTGATATGGGCAAGTGGGTTTGAGGGGTTTCATGGGTTTGGGGCTAGAGTTGTGAGTATGGGGGGGGGAGGGCAACTGAGGATTGAGATTTAGAGGGGTTGTGAGGGGATGGAGCTTAGGAAGAAGGAGAAGTGAAGGGATGATGATGATGAAGATGTGAGATCAGAGCATACTGAGTACTTGGATGGGAATGCGGATGATGAGCGAGAGTAAAAAGTGCTTCATCGTATCCTTCGCATGCATTTCTAGCGCATACAGAACGTCATGACACCACGCGGACCAAACCCAAAACTGTAGATTTGCCACTTCACAAACTAACTACAACATCACCAACACCCTCAGCTCAACTCTCCCCCTCCCGCCTATAGCACAAAGACCGGTCTCGACCTTCTCAGCCAATAAACTCGCCACAGTCTGGACCCCCCCATTTCATGCCCATACCACCGTTATTTGACGGGGCAGACGACGGAGCAACCCTCGCTCCAATCCCCTAGCGCCGCGCCGGCAATACAGCGTATGCAGCTAGGAAATCCTCGGGTCCCACGAAAGGGCAAGAAGAGAAAAAAACGGCCAAGGGCCCCGATTTTGGGTCCCGGATCATGGCGTCGCCCTACTAATCTTGTGTGTGGATGTGGATGGGTTCTGGTCTGGTTGCTACTAATCTAAGCATAGGTGAAAGAAAGTTTGGGAATACGAATTCTCCGATGCATGGAGGTGATGGTGTGGGATGGAATGGTACGAGAAGTCAAAGTTGCTGAGATGTTTACTTTTTTTCTCTTTCACTTATTCATGCTCATGCCTACCATTAAGTTTATATATTTTTCTTTTCGCGCCGCCGCGGGGGTGAGGAGAGTAATCAGCCCACGGAAATACGCATACGTAACAGTTGAGCTGGAAAAGAGACGTTAGTCGTGAGAAACTTGATCCAGACTGGCTCTTTCTTTTCCTGCCTTCTCCACGGAAGCTGAAGGGTCCTTTGCTTTTTTTCCCCGAGGGGTCGGTGGGAGGCTAGTTGTTAGTGGTGCTCAAATTTGTGGATGGGGACCAAAAGCATGGTGTGGTGTTATTTGCGCCAGTGGGGTAACTGATTTGGCCTGTCGGTGCTGGTAGCGGAGCACGATAACGGCGTTGGCTTTGTGGACCTGGAGTGTAAATCGTACGAGTTCGGAGATTGGGGCGAAGAGAGAGACATGTGAGAAGTGTCAGGATAGACTGGGGAAGCACATGTCGGAGACTCCCGGTCAACACATTCTTCTTTCGCTACAGATGCGAGTCGGTCAAAACCACTCCTTGCCGATTCCATAAGCGCTTTTCTTTGCCGATCCAAGGGACACGCATCGTTTCCATACCGTGTTCTCGCTCTTGACCGCATGTCTCGCGGGTTCGGTAAGACTCAGTGTACCTGCAGTATCCCATACTCGGGCACCACCGCACATGTTAGCTGGTGGCCATATTGACGATAACGGCCTTCGGGATAGTAAGTGGTTGTGTAGTAATGCGCTTAACGCGTTAAGTCGATGAAGCTAGTCAACAACATGGGTGTAGAGAAGACAGGTCGCACCCCGTAGCGTTGCACACTTGACATGAGCGAACGATGGCCGACGCTTCTTCATCTCCAATACCCTGTGCTGATGACCGATCATGCGGCCTTGCGTAGGGTACCAACTTCATGGGTTTTGGGCGTCGTTCTTCATTGTCCGAGCGAGCAAAAGGCAAACATGGTCGTATTGGTAAGCGGTTGGACCGGAAAGCGTTTCCTTGTAGGATGTGCAAAGGGAGCGCATTTTCAGCTGTCATGCCAGTCAAGGCCGTACAACAGACGATGAAACTGACCGAACGAGTGATTTACTCAATGTGTAATAAAGTGCATGTGCGCATACGTTCCGGAACGCCCGCCATCTGCCAGTTCCACGCTCCTTCTCTTTGTACACAGTTCCAGGCATGGAACAATGGGCTGTCGCTTGCTGCTCATTGCCGATTTACCACATGCCTTTCCCGGCCCATGATTTACGTATGTACTGGAAATGGCCGGTGTCTCGGATAGGAAAAGGCGTAAGAGCCAATACCTACGGTCGTACGCGTGGGGGATGTAGCAAGCCAAAACGCAGTGGTACACCTACATGGCACAAAGGTATGAGTTCTTCTGCAGCCAGCCATATGAGATGATGATTGTACTACCCGAGCAATCGATGATGGCTTTTGTAGAAAGAGCAATTCTTAGTATACGGCGGGGCCGGACACAGGCTGACAGTTGGCACTACGCTGTGCCAGGTGTGGGGGATTTGTGCCATGACTGATCAACGATGTGAGGTTCTCGTAAAATGTTACTCTAACGTGGCTGAGGAGACTGAGCGGCGACTTGAGGCAGGCTGTGTAACCATCATGTGCCCATTGCATGTTTCTTTGTGTAGCAAACAAAATGTAAGCCTCTCAACCTAGGCGAAGCGCGGTGATCTACGTACGACTGCGAGCAGAGCAAGGTGTTTGGTATCAGTCGCCCACGAGACATTGCATAGTGCGATTGTTCAGTGCCTGATCCAAAGAACTGCTACATTCTGCCGAAACATGGTAGAGGACGAGCTTCGACTATGCTCAAGTCAATTTGGCTGCTAGGCACAGTACCACTTGCTCGTAGCACATGCACAGCCGCCCAGCCGCACAACCATGCACATGTGCTGTCAAAGTGTCAGCCTTGATGAAGGGATGATTCACGGGATGAGGCCGTGCCCCAGATTCAAAAGGAAAGTCTAGAAACCAAGCACTAGGCTCCAAAGTACAGCACAGATGCCATCTACAAGATCACTATGCAGGCCCGACAAGCCGGGCACGTGTACATACAGACGACGGCTTCCCGTATTACGGTGACACGGGGGCAAGCAGCCACGAAGCTTACTGTGCAAGGCTCATTCCTTACTTTTGAGCAAAGGTAGCAATCCCTAGTCAAAAAGAAGGTGTTCCGGTGTGCGGCCTGCCACGTCCAAGGAGACTTGCGAGGATTGACCCGCAAGCAGCCGCGTGACAAGAAGCGAGGCACACGCCGATGGATCTTGCTTTGACCAAAGAAGCAAAACGAGGCGTTTTTTGTGGCTGAACAAGGCAGCCTGGATGCGGACAATGGAAAGTCGTTGCGAACAAGCGGCGGCTTCGGAAAAAATCAAGGATATGCAAGCACGGTAAAGGACATATGGGATGTCTAGGCGAGTGGCAATGAATCGTGCTAGCCCCCAGCGTATAACCAAGGTTGGGTGGAGCAAGTCTCAACGCCTTCTAGGGTTTGTTTCGTAGACATGGATTCGAAATTACGAGCTGATGGTAGCAAGTGTAGATCTTGAGCGGGTGAAGGGGCCAGGCCATTCCTTCGGATCGTGGCATCGTCGTTTTGGGTGACATTGCTGTTGCTCGGTGAGCGAGCGTCAGAGACAAAAGTGGATGCCTGTAGACGTGTGTGTGTCTGTATGTATTCATCCAGCGAATCAATACATGATGCCTTGATCGGGACAATATCTGTGCACCTGATTTCGGCAAATTGGCGATTTAAGCTGTAAAAGTCATGGCCGGATTTGCACAGCTGGCTCCATAGGATGGGGAGGAACAGAGAGGGTGCATGCGCACATCTCGACGGTGGCTGCGAGATGATTTGCGATGATGCAAAAGGATGAGATTGAGGCATTTCTTCGTATGGGCTAGCGGCAGAAGGAACAAGAGGCTGCCTGGTGAATGGAGGGACACACTCACTTTTCCAGCCGCGCAGCTTGGCACCAGCTTTGCCTAGACATTTGGTGCCCATGACAGCCAGCGACGCTGCACGTCAACCAACGGCGTTGCTGATTTTGCAGGTCGGAAGCACGTGACATTCATTACTTTTTCATCGTCATCCGCTCTCGCTTGCATGCATGGGGATTGGCTGCCGCCAAAACAAAAAAAAAGTGATCTAACGGTGGCTCATCGAGATTCCGGTGACGCCCTTCTGCGGGTCAAGGTACATGTAGGGCGATACACACACACACACATACATCCACATGCGTATGTACATCCATACAGGCCTACATACATTTCTACGCGACGCGCTATGTGGCGGAGAAGGACCGACAGCCGAGACGACACAAGGCCAACGGAAGCTGGGGGACGTTTGGTGCTTGATTCGGGAAACCAGCCAGCCAGCCATGGTGGGCAGCTGACCCGGCGTCAAGCATGAGCGAGCAAGATAGAGAGACAAAGAGTCCCCTTTGGCAACAAGTGAGGGTTGCCATGACTGAAACCTGCTCACTGTTTGCTGCCTACGTGTCCGTGTTCTTCTTTTGCGGGTATTGAGTTGCAACAAGCATCAGGAATCAGGTGCTTGCGGACGATCATGCAGCTAGAGACTTGTGGTTGTGTGTACTATGTATGTTTATCAGACATGAGTAGTTTGTATGTGTGTACAAGTGTTGTTGTTATTATTATTATTATTATTATTATTATTATTATTGACAAAACGTCTCGACATGCACATGGTTCAACATCGCGTGGCCTGAGCGGCGGCCGGTTGGGCGGCTGCTCTCTTCCCAACAAACACCTGCTCCAAGGGCAAAAAATAATAATCAAGAGCCAGGGCGCCAAAGTCAAAAACACACACGGAGAGAGTCCAGCCCCAACCAAAGAGTCTCGATCCCGCAATGTAGTCATCAATCGCCCCACCACCGTCCCCTCAACACCTGCGTCTGATATCCGTTGACAGCCATCTGCGATTCATCCCTTTGGACATGTGCGTTAAGCCTGTAAGGGCTAAGGGGACAAGACAGGGCGCAGCCTCGAGCCAATCACCTGGGACAAGTCAAGACAGACTACTGCACACTTACATGGTCATCACGCAAAAGGTTATGTATGCCGTAGTGGAACCGGTGATTTGCTGTTGGCGCTAGGCCACTTGCATCCATGGCCATGGAGACTCTGCAGATGCATACGGACGACGGCCGGGGCGTGGAGCTTCCATGGTGGAGAGACTAGGGCCATGGTTGGATGTCATTTTGATTTTGCGCACTAGTTCATGTATGCTTTGGGCTGGATGCAGAATCGTGGTGGGGAGGCTGCAGATTGATGCGTTGTGGCACCTTGACTCGAGTGGGCCGGATACGTGGGCTAGTGTCATGGAGACCAGTAGTCGACGACTACGACTGCAACGACAGAGTAGAGCTGGACATGGACAATGTTGGATATCAAAAGTGATAGACACATGTCACAGTCAAGACTGTAGAGTGGGAAGGAAGTGGCTTGTTCTTGGCTGGTCGCCTGCAACTATTGCTGCAGGTGCCATTGGGTATGTTTTTTTGTCATTTGGATATTTGCTCAAGGCAAATTTGTGCTTGTCCTTCTTTTTGGGACCTACACTAACGTACATTGTTGAGCCTATTTGCTCTGGTATCTTTGATATGAAAAGTTAAATGAACGTAATAGAGCGAGGGCTTCGACGAGCCCAACGCTCAAACAGGGACAACTCCGAGAAATGCCCAAAAAACCCACTCCCTAACCCTTGTGGCAAAAGCCCATTGAAGTAGCCGAAGAAACAGACTCTATGCCATCAAGGCTGCTTGACAGAGTTAAACATGCTAAGCCATCGCGGCCAGAAAATTCTAATGTTGAAGACCAGAAACTTGCCCATACTGGTCTAATTTTGTAACGAGGTGGGAAAAAAAATAAGAAAGAAAAACAATCCACCCCAACACCTAACGAGAAATCAATGGCTGTTCATCTCATCATGACTTTTCGAAAATAGTATAAACACATAGACAAGAAGCGTATTCGTAAGCAAAAAGGTCCATGAAAGGGAGGTCATGGAGGAGAAGAGCAGTCTAGTAGACGTGAACCGGGGCCATGATCGAAGGCTGGAAGGAGACGTGCTTGACCAGATTGGCTGCCTGGATAAAAGGCTGGAACCAGGTGTTGGCAGGAGGTTGGGGAGAAACGTATTGTTGGGGTTGAGGAACGCGCGAAGAGAACTTGGGAGGCTGCGACTGCGAGACGTGGTATGACGAGTTCGAAGAAGCCGACGAAGCCGACGAGCAAGCAGAGAAGACGGACTCGCCGTCAGAGTTTGAGCTTCCGGAAGAGGTCGACGACTGGAAGGGCGATGGGGCGTAAGCCGAGCCGGGCAGAGGAGCAAACTGGGGAACGGCAGGAGTCTGGTAGTACTGGTTGTAGGCGGGATCCTGGGCATAGTCGACTGGGCCAAAGGAAGGAGTGGGCATTGGCGAAGAAACGGCCGACTTGGTAGCTGTGAAGGACGAGCATCGCATGATCATGTCGCGGATCTCGGGAATGGTGGCCCTCTTGGCTGGGTTGAACTCAAACATGCGCCTTAGAACGGCATCAAGCTCGTCAGAGACGGGAAGGATGGTCTTGAGGAACTTGGGGTCCTTCATGAAGGCACGGAAAGTGCTGTCGTCAAATGAGGCGCGCTTCCATGGGTTGCGGCCGCATGTGAGGTTGACGAGCATGACACCAAGGCTCCAGACATCATTGGGGGCCGATGCATAGCATGAGTAAGGCTTTGGTGATGATGTCTGGCATTCTGTACAAAGTTAGCACGTGACTTGTTGGGTGGTGGCAGTTGAATGATCCTACCTGGAGACATGTAAAAGGTCGAGCCGCAGCCAAAGTCCGAGGTGACGGGGTCAGTGGTGGCGAGTCCAAAGTCGGCAAGCTTGCAGGTCATTCCTTGGTCAGTTACGAGAACGTTTTCCGGCTTGAGGTCCCTGTGGTAGATTCCAATGGAGTGGCAGTACTCAACGGCATCCAAAACCTGGAGAAAGGCGCGCTTGGCCATGGCATCATTACCAACGTATTTGCCCTGCTCGGTGATGTTTGAGAAGAGATCGCCCTCTGGGCAATACTCAATCACCACATAGGTGCAGTCGGGCGCGTCCATGATCTTGACGAGCGAGACGACATTGGGGTGTGCGCTGGCCTGGTGGTGCAGCTGGATCTCACGCTGCTGGAACTTTCTTTGGCGAGGCTCAAGACCAACCTTGTTGAGCGCCTTTACGGCGTAGGGAATGTTGGTCTGGATGTCGACGGCCGTGTAAACGACACCGTAGGCTCCAACACCAAGGACGCCAGTCAGCTGGAGGCGTCCAGCCAGGACTTGGCCTAGGCGATCTTCCGGCGCGCAGAATCCATTTTGGGAGGGAGAAGCTGGGGGCGTCGGGTACATGTTAATGGTTGGGAGATGGAAGGTGGAAATAGTCCTCGCAGGTCCAATCAAGGCCTCAAGGACAAGGTCAGCGGAGAGTCCGGGAAATGCGGTGGAGTGGCCTTGTCCGGGTGGAAAGAGGCAACGAGAAATCCTGGACGGAGGGCTCCGACTAGAAAGAAGACGCTATTATAAAAGGATATGTGTTTTGGTGAGTCAACCGGAAGAGGCAAGTCACGTGACTTGTCTGATGGTGGTTGGGCAGGAACCTTTTTGGCGGAGAGCAGGAGCGAAAAAGGGTTTTTTTTTGCGAAGGAATGTGAGTGTGTGTGAGAGTGGGTGGGTGTGTGAGTGTTATGAGTAGAGGAGGTAGGAGAGGGAGGAGAGGGATTGTTTGTTGTGGTTGAGGTTGTGGGTGTTGTTTTTGTGGAGGAGAGGTAGTAAGTAGTAGCGGAGGAGGGTGTGTATGTAAAGTGTGAGGCGAGATATGATGTATGTGTATGGGCACGGCTGGGCAGCAGTGATAAAGAGAGGCGAGCTGGGGCGTAGGCGGGCGGCTATTGGCCAGGCGGGTGGCCCCGGTCTTTGGTAAATATAGGGAAGGAGGGGCGCTATGACGGATGTGGATGGGGCGACAGAGCGAGTGCAGGCGGCCATGAGCGATATGCGCCATCGCCCACACTCGTCGCTGCCCTCAGACTCACACACACCCACACACAGAGTGGCACACAGACGCACACGCAGGCTAACGTCTGGATCCACTGGCTTCTGTCGAGTGGTGCAGCCCACCCTGGGCTGCTGGCTGGGGGCGCTGGGGGCGGTGGTGGTCCAAGCCGGCGCAGCAGCAGGGCGTGGGCCGTCTGTGGCCAGTCCAGACGGGCGCGGTGGAGGCTAGGGGGGGTCCAACAAAGGCCGTCATGCAGCTACCGGGTGGGAGGGTGTGAATCATGGCGGCTGGCCGTCGGCTGTGGCCAAGGGCGAATCAGCTGGGCCGTCAGCAGGGCGAGGGTGACACACAGCAGCGGGGGCTCGACGCGACAAGTGCAGCAGCCTCGAGGGGCCCGCCTGCACTCTGCCGTGGCCGCCGTCGACTTGCGCTGCGCTGCTCGTCAGCCCGCAGCGAGGACACCTGTCGCCCTGGCCTTGCTGGCCACTGATTCGCCGCCTCCGCCCATCCATGGCCGCTATGCCCGCCGTCCCAAGCCTCGCTCGATAGTCGTCACGGCCCACTGCGCGGACCCACTCGCCCTCCGAAAACGACCGCGCCGCGCCCCAGGCCCAAAGCACCCAAAGCACCCAAAGGCTGAGAGACTGGCCTTAGTCCCCCGCGGGATTAGCGTCGTCTGGGCCCTCGGCGCCCATGTGCCAGAGCCCGGCCAGGCTGACGACGTCGACAAAAGCCGCGAGTGCGAGTGCACGGCCGGCGTTCGATAGTCTGCGCTGGCCCCCATGACGAATGCACGCCCGTCCAAACGACGATCTCGCAACGCTGCGGCACTGCGGCCTGCATCTCTGACTGTCATGCCGCCCGCAGGCCCTGCCATGCCACACCACACCACAAGCCCTCGAGAGCAACCAGGCCCGCTGCGGCCTCCAATCTCAATCTCGCTCCAACCTCGCGTTTCGGTTTCGAGTGGGTGGAGTGGGTGGCTTCCTGCCTCGCGCCCTCTGCCCGCTTCCTGCCCACACCAGCAGGGTCTGTCCCTCAATCTGCCGTGCTCCTTCCCTTGCTGCTCGCTGCTCGCTCCTTCCTGCCCTCTGCCTGCCCTCTGCCTGCCCTCTGCCTGCCCTCTGCCTGCCTCCGTGGCCACCAGCCTGAAAGCCGCCTTCCCTGCGCCCTGGTTGCCGCTGCCCGATCCAGCCCAGCGCCTGCCCTCCCTGCCCACCCCTGTCCCCCTTGCCATTGGCTGCCTGCCATATTGCCCTCTGTGCCAATGACTAACCGAACCGTTCGCTCCTGCTCCTGCCGTGGCGCTACGTCCACCAGAATTTTCCACCCTGCCCATCCCCCCAGCCAATCCCACCCGCCATCATTTCTGACTTTTGTGCCAATCATCGTCGTCCACCCTGTCCTGTGACCATTGCCCGTCACCGCCCACCACCGTCGCCGCCTCGTTGCTGTCCCAGTCACACCGGTCATTCGTTGTCGTCTTGCCAGTCGCAGTCGTGGCGCATTGCGCAATATACCGGTCGCCAATTCGTCGTGATCCACGGCCACCCACCGGGCCTGTGAATCGTAACAGTACAGCTGGCCTTGCTTCCATGGCCACTTCCACTTCCACTTCCACTTCCACCGCCCACTCCTACATCCACACCCACACCCACACTTCTACACCCTTCCACTCGTACCCGTTCGAATCCTAATAACGCTCTAGCAGCCCCCGTATCCATGTCTGCATACGAACCGTCAGGAGCTGCCATATCCGCCAGATTGCAAACCTTGTCTGCAAGCGAGCCACCCGTGCAACCACCTGCAGCTTTCAATTCTTTTTCCTTGCTTTCCGCCCTCATCCGTGCGTGGGCACAGACGCCAATCAGGTCCGCCGCCCGGCTGGCTAAACCTACGAGAGCGGGAGTCTGTGAGTCTGTGAGCAGAGACAATGGAGATCATCGATGAGTGAAATTGTTCCTTCGCTCCCACGGCGGCCACAATATCGTCGGCCCTCTTGTCACATACTAGAGCCGTTCCCAAGGGCATGGCCGCGGGTGACGGCTGAGCCACAACGTATACGCGGTGCTAATTTGCCTTGCCTGCGCTAACAATCTCTTCACACAGCAGCAGCACATTATTTGCACAGTGCTAAGTACCACTCGACCACTTGCAGCCATGTAGTATGCCTCGTATGCATCCCCCCCAATGCACCACTGTTCATCATCAGCATCTGCTCGTCATCTGCCTTTGCCTTTCACACCCCCCCCTTTCCGCCCGCCCCCAATCTACTCTTCAGCCATGTGTGCCACCCATGCATTTCTCTGATTCGCATTCATGCACTCCTCCCTACCATATTTTCTCCACAAAGCTTGAGCGTTTCAGTCGACTTGTCCAAAGTTACATATTCACCGCCAGATGGCGTCAAGCGAGCTGTCATTGGCCTAGCTCCGGCACCTACGTTTGACCTTATCGATAGCTGCCCTTGGACAATAAGCCCGCCCCCTCCATGTCAACCTCCTAACCTCCTCAAACTCTAACCGCGGCCGTGTGAGCAACAAAACATTCACTCCACCCTCTCGTCTGCACGGCATTGCTCATGATGGCTGGTACATTCTGCGACGTGGCGCCTACCGGTCGACTGAGACCAGCCACCATGTCAATCTCAATATACTTGCTCCATCCGAGTAGAAACTAGATGGTCACCGGATACACTTGTAGATACGTGTCCAGCCTCATCTTACTATCCTTGCTGTGCTCTGGTTGGCCCTGCCTCGTTAATTTGCACAAAGGGTATTGTTGCTTTTACAAAAGGAAAGAATTGTTTACACAATTCAACCTCATGACCGACACGACTGGTCTCATGCTGTGACCTTTTGATGCTCACCCGCGAAACTAAACATGTTCATTCGGCTTCAAAACTACCGTGTCGATTCATGAGCAATATCTAGCCAACATTGTTGATTCTCCATTTGAATCTACTCGCTTGGCTCTTTATCAAACATGTACATACTAGCTACTGCTCTCACTCATAACGTCTGCCGATGGCATAAATGGCCAAGGACTACATGCCTATTATTATAAACATCTAAAAAGATTATATATACCTGTCACACAGAGTGTAATAACGAGCCTCATCCCTGCCTTGCATTCGGCAATGCCGCCACCCAGTGTGGCCATGTTCCCTCGGTATAGCTTCAACTATTTACTAGGTGTGCACTACAACAGCTCTTCACCTCGTATTCTCGACAACAAAATAGTAGATTTGCATCGTCCCAGACCACACGGAACACCGCTTACAGTCGGCCCGCAAACCTGTCAGATCAACCCTTAGTCATTCAGGCATTAACGTTTCGCCACTGCCATGGCTGGACCAAACTTCGTGGGGGCGTTCTGTTTTTACTTTTTTTTTCTTTACTTTTACTGCACAACTCATGCGTTGCAATAGGACGACCTGCATGGGCAGTCAGCTGCTCCGACACAGCAGGTTTGGCCGTTGTATCGCTCCATGCTTACTGTATCCATCTCTGACTGGCACTGTTTACTTACCATGGCATCGGCGCTAGTGGGGCATCTCTCGGACTGACTTGCGCGTCTTGAGCCATGATTGCCGCACACGGCTGAACAGTCACAAGAAATGTCATCATATCCGCCCGCCCGCCAAGTGATGCAGTACCCTGCACATCACTATATTTCTGATACACCTATTCACTCTCCAAAGTTGCTATACCCCGACCCTCCGATCAACTCTGCAGCCTACGTCCTTGGACACACAAAGAAGGGAACCCGTGTGTGCAGATAGACTTTTTTCTCCATCGCATCAGCCGCTTTCACTCCAACCATGCTCACTTGCATGTCACGCCAATGATACGGCCGCGGATGCTCAGGGTAATCGGCCTCATGATACAATGGCTTGCCCACCGTCCCAAGAACCCCAACACTGGACGCACCGTAGCCGACTATCATTTTCATCATGATTGAACAGCCCCCAAAAAACTCACTTTTAGGGAAAGCCACCCGTCCTTTCTCCACCATGGTTCACAAGATCGCCCGCATAGGCCATGATTCCATGGAACCCAACTCGCTGGCGCCTCGAAATTAAACTCCCAAATCTTTCGCTTACAAAGGGTCCCTTCTAGTCGGCACCGAAGATCACATTGGGGTGTGAGCTTTGTTGCTTCTCTCCATTGGCATACACGTGTCCTAGTGCCCCCCCATCCCCCTAGTCAGCGGCAGCTAATCACCGAACCAAACTTTTCCCAAACCTAAATCCTGCCCTTTCTCTCCTCCCTTCTTCCCAAGATTGGATCGGCAGCATGTCCGTTTCGGGCCTTTTCCGGTGCATGCCGTCGTTGGTCGTTCCTTTCCAAATGGCCCTTTTAGATTATTATTTGACCATAGTCTTTTTTTTCTGGGCGTGCTGGCACACCCGCGCCGCTCAGACTAGTAGATTATAGTAAGTTAAGTTATGACCTTGACGCTGTTGTTCCCTTTGTGTTGGCCGCAAATTTCCACCAGCCGCAACAAAAGTGGCACCATTTTCTTTAGGGAGTTGCGCCGGATCGTCGTCGTGAATGACTAAGGAAACAATAATCTATCTGTTGCTTCACTGGCAACAAATAAGCTCATGGTTTAGGGGGCCCATCGGGCCCTCTTTTTTTCTTTCCATATTCTTTTCTATTTTCTTCTTCTTCCCCCTTGCAACCTTTGATGATGTGTACGATATTTGCCCTGTGCACATAGCACCAGCACCACGATTTTCGGGCCACCGAAAACCAACGTATTATACTTACGGCGAGTTATGCAGTCATAATGTACTATGACGATCTCTCGATTCTCTCTCCTCCCAACACGCCCCCTCACCCTATTCTAGCATTCTTCGGCACCTTCCAAGTCAGCTATTGCCAAGACACCTCCTTCCGTTTGCGTATTGCTGTTCATAACTTTCTTCTTACCTTCTTTTCACCCCCAACGGCCCTTTGTTGCATGAGCAAATAAAAATCTCAAAGAGTCGTGCCGACATATTGCCCCCCAAGTTCAATAGCTCTACGTCACCGCCATAGCGGTTTTCCTTCTCTGTTTTCTCCCACAGAGAGACCGCAGCCGCCATAAGCGATTTGGCATTACAGGCGCCAACCTTGTAGCTTGTCTAGCGTTGGGCCGCCTGCCCATGAATTGTATTGAGCACCATCTCAAGCCGCCCGCGCACGTGAGCTCGCCTTTTTGCGCCATCATCCCCCCTTTCGATCAACCTTCTGCCTACAAGCATGTGACTCTTGCTTGAATCAACCAAAACCTTACTTTCTTGCCACCCACTCAGCCTCATTCTCCAATACGCACACGCACGAACCTTTTTTTCTTGCAGCAAACACGAGATTCCGGGGCTCTGTGCACCCCATGATAGTGTATCGCTTCTCACGTGGTCGCTCTCTTTCTTGTCTAAATCGGTGTGTCGCGCAGGGTCTGCCAGGCGGGCCGTTGAGAAGGACAGCCCTGCAACCCAGCGATCCCAAAAAAAGAAAGAAGGGCAAAAAAAAAGAGGACCCAAACTACTACGTATTACCGACCGCTCACGCGCACAGCGGCTGATGACGCTCGTTGTGAGTAGCATGTTTCGCCTCATTCTGGCATTGACGACACCTTTGCAAGTTCCATCGTCTTCTTTTTCTCGCCACAGGGTCATTCCTTACACGGATTAACCCTACGAAACTTCTTGTCTCGCAGGCAGCAAGCAAGCAAGCAAGCGCAACGAGGCTGTGGTCGCTAGCCATGTGTACCATGTAACCCATGAATAACCATTCCGTACACCGGCCCAACGGGCCCAACAACGGAACTAGAAACCAAGTCCGTATTCCATGATTTTGCCACTTGGGCAATTTGTGTCTCTCTTCTTCCCGCCTCACAAGTCGAGTTTCGATTGTGATTGCGCAACCAACGTAACCCGCTCCGCCCGCCTCTCGCTCACTCCACCTTTTCTTCGTCAGCGCTCTTCAAACCTGAATCTGAAACAGGTATCCCCTTCAACATGGGGCCGAGCGGACGCGGACGGGCGGAATTGAGTAAGAGAGACCAGACAGTCGCGTTTACGTTTACCCATGGTAGCACCGTCAACTTGGTCGTCAGCCAGACCGCCATCCATACAGCATAGTATTACCAAGGGAACATGCTTGGTGTTTAGAAGAAAAAGCGCTCATCAGCCCATCAGCGCATTTGCATACATCCCAGTGTGATGAATCCCTCCCGTCAGCAGTGTTTGATACTACCAACATGCACCATACGTAGCTGGCTGATGCCATACTAAACCGCATATGCGTCTACACTACGTACATGGACGCCCGGTAGGTGTATAACATCAGCCATGCGCGTAACGCCCATCCACCCGTCTGTAGATACTACCTGCAGCCTGCCCTTTGCCTTTGCCTCCCCCTTAGATACATACAAACGAAATAGCATCGCGTCAGCATGTGTTGATCCCATCGAGTGGACAAAGCAAGGGTCCTTGAAGTTTCCGCCTTCTCCGCCCCCGCGGCACGGATAACGCATCTGCACGCCATACTTTTTCAGCCGTTGGGGTTCGTGGCGTTTTGCGTTTTGCGGGGGGAAGGCGGGTTGGATGAGACATCACAGGCGGATTTAGAGGGGTGGGTTGGAAGGTGGGAACATCAAAGGGTAGTCTCAATCGGTTGGAGAGTGTCGGCGAGTCACCAAAAAAAAGATAGTTCCCCATCGTGTGCTGAAAATAGTAACCTGCAACTTTCGCTCCTAACCGCCCAGTCTACCGCCGCATTAGGGCGACTCTTTCTTCCCCCCCCCCCTCCACCAAACAACAACGCGTCTGCGTCTATAGATATCATACTATGTAACAAAATGTATGTAGGTCCTTGTTACCCGGGCGGCTGCTCTGCAGACCTACATAGAACCCACCCAACCCCCCTCCTCCATCCCGCTTTTGGCGTAATCTACACGGGGGAGGAATCGGAACCTTGTTACCTTTCCTCTCCCCCCCAGCCCCGGTGTTGTTGGTAGTGATTGAAATGAGTGGGATTTGATAACACAAGTACACCTACGTACATACATACTTAAAACTGTACATACGCGCTGGTGGCCATGACCATGCCCTGCATGGATGCGGCGTAGACTCTTTTATTGGAATGGTTGGACGAACAGGAAGCTCACGCATAACACACATACGTACTCCCTATCTACACATCAGAGAAACGGCTTTGTTTTAAAAATGAAAGAGGATTCGGGTTGGCTAGGTGAGGGCTCCGGTTGTCTCAGATGTATATGCATGGGGCGAGGCGGAGAGATGCAAGGGTTGAGGGTGGTTAAAGGCTTGCTGAGATTGAGGTAGCCCGCTACTATGATGGAGATGGCCTGCCTGTTTGGTTCAGTCAGTGCTGTGCGTGGGGCGTGGCGTTGTTGGACGAGGGCGGTTGCTGGAACATCACACCTCCAGCTCAGGTATGCATATGCCGGGCGTGTCTCTCTCTCTGTGTGCGTGCGTGTGTTTGTGTGTGTCTGCCTCAGGCCTTCAATAAACTTCACCAAACTTGTACTGGTGCCGGTGGCGGAGGCGGAGGCAGCGGCAACAACCGTGATCTTAGGCATCATTCGTCGTCGTCATCATCATCATCATCATGAAAAACTATATTGCGTACGTAAAGTTTCTAAAGTCTCCACAACGGCTGCTCCGTCGGCAAGTGAGTGATAGAGAGAGAGGGGGGGGGGAGACTCAGAAAATAGAAGCTAAGTATATACGCGTAAGGAATGGGGAGGGGGTGTGGTTGTGAGTCAAGATTCGTATTTTTTTCGTATTGAGACTCGTCAGCAATGGGCAGTGCTGAACCACCAATGTTACGAGATCTCAAGCTAAGTGAGAACGCGAAAAATAAACAACAGCATGCTAAGGTACTAAGTTACGAGGGCATATTGCATAATGGAATTGAGTCAACATCATCCATACGTTCAAGGCTCTAGATCTCGGCAACATTGCTGATGCACTAACGGTGCTGATGAATGGGGCAGGGGCGTGAATAAGGATGATTAGGAAACAGCAGAAATGAGGGTTTGCTAAATAAGGGCCTTGGAAATATTTGGCACCGTATACTATTAGGAGATGCAATTGAGTCACTGGAAACTATTTTCTTAATCATCATTATTGCGTCCCCATTCATCAGCACGGTTAGTGCATCAGCAACTTGCAACCTCAGAGTGTGATGCGAAAATAACATCAGTAGCTCAATGTCTTGAAGCCAGTGTGCCACTTCTCTGCCTATGTAGACCACGGAGCCAAGTTTAGTAATTTCTTCCTTGTTTCTTGCTCCTTCTCCTTCCTCGTGATATACATGCATACCTGACACTCTCCCAAACTCTTGCCCATAAAAAGGAAGATATGAAAACATGTGATTTGTACTTAATATAGAAGAGAAGGATGTCATTGGCTTAATGAACTATAGTCTCACAGGTCGACTGGTGGGATTTGATGACACGAAGTGAACAACTTCATATTTGATTGAATGGCCGTGTTGAAACATCATGGGTCAAATGAACTCTCGGGAGCAATAGTAGTCCCAATAAATTGTACTACAAATTTTCTCTCACGGCGAGAAAAAAAAAGACGCAATAGCAAACAAAGGTTGAACCCATCATTTGAGTTACTTGGATGTAGATTATTTTCGAGGTTTGAATATATGTATGGAATTGAAAGGACGCAGAAAGAAAAATACTCATATTCAAATCATTGCAATATTTTTTTTTCATAAGCACCCATAACCTCAACTATTTTTCATCCAGTTCCCAAACCCCAAAACCAAATCCCCCCTCCATAATAACTTCCCCATTACCCACCCAACCCAACCTAAATAAGAAAAAAAAACCCCCTACTCCACATCCCATACCCACAGACATATATACAACCTTAACCGCAACCGTGAGTCCTGCAAACCCCCCTTCATCCCCCCAGAATTAAGCAGCAGGATCCAAAAACCCCTCAAGCGTCTCATACCCCAACGGCTTAAACAGTTCATTACTTA